TGTAGATGATGCTTAGTATGTTGCTACAGTTCATTCATGACAAGTGTCATTTGAAATGAAAGAGCTTGGTTGTAGCTCTCCCTTTAAGGGCTCTAAGGCATGAACTGGTTAAGTGATGTGTACAATTGTGAATCTCTAAATAGTAGTAGTTACTACTTCATTAATTACACACAATAGTGAAAAAAAAAATCAAGATCACTCTTTAGGAAAGAAAATTTTCTATCCATAACTTGCTTGTTACTGTAATGGCTTTCAATGTTAAGAGAGAGTCCTTAATCTGTTTCTATCTAGGCCATGGGAATGCTTTCTTCTCCCCCCCGCCCCCCGATCTAGTGATTTGCATTTAAATATTTTATGGGTAATCTTGCTCTGTTCTGCTTTTGAGAATAAGCTTTGATGGAGGAGTTTGTTTTGCTCTAGGCTTTGCTGGTGCTCATAATGGCATTTCCCAACTGGCGGTTCATAAGACAAAAGCAGGCTGGTGGCAGCCACTGTGGAGACAGCGCGTGTTGGCTTGCGGTTATGAAATCCAAAGAGTGAGGAGACCTAACAGAAACCCATGTATTGGTAGAAAGTAACTTAAACAGTAGAGCAGCAGATCATAGCTAGTGATTATAACAGCAGTTCCTTCCTCCATTTCTTCACTGTTTCAAAGCTTAAGGAAGCATCTTTCAGAGTCTTCGGGGCTACTGTCTGAAGGTCCCTTAAATACATGACTGTTGAGTCATAGTCCATCAAGTGGCTTAATTTCTGTTGCACAGTTAGCTGAGCACACTAATGAATGTGGGAAAAGATGGACCAGGGTTATTGGCTGGTTTATGAATTGCTGGTGATGGGAGGTGGAGAACTGATGGGTTAAAACTCAGATTAGTTGTGTTGGCATGTGACACAACAGCTCAAGACAAACATGATTCGTGTTCTGGCATTTCATCACTGTCTGCTGAGAATATGATCATGTAGCAGTTTACAAGAGACTTGAACTGTCCTCAGTAGGTTCTTTGTGATTTCTAAAACAAAAAAATTGGTTAGAAAACGGGTTTGGGGAATGTTCCTTTCTCAGATCTAATATGGACATTGACCTATATGCACACTTTTGAAATAAAATGTGAAACAGTAAAAATAAAAAGTATGAGATGACAAAAGCTAGCCAAATTCTAATATACTTCTTTTTTTTCCTTATTACAGAAATACATTAACTTTGAAGTGGAACTAAACAATGGAACCAGATATTATTCGAATGTACTCCTCATCCCCTCCACCACTAGACAACGGAGCCGATGATGATGATGAAGATGAATTTGGAGAATTTGGAGGATTTTCTGGTGTAAGCAGTGCTGGTGTAGCTTTTGCTGATTTTGATACGCCAGACTACAGTCATCCAAAGGAGGAGTTTATACCCACAAATCATTTCATCCCACTTCATGATTATTCTGACAATGTAGCTAGCATTGCAACGTTCACATCTGTTAAAAATGTTAAAGACAAAGACTGCATTGCAGAGCTTCCTACTCTTCCTAAGGAACTTTCTGATATGTCAGCTACTAGTACCAGCAAAGAAAAATCTAAATTTAGAACTTCAGGTACTGCTTTAGAAGATGTAAACAAAAGAGGGGAACAAAGAGACAACACTGGGAAATCGGAGGGTTTTTCTTCTCGTATCATTAGAACTGGTATAGCAGTTGAGAGCCAGGATGAGCAAATAGATGCTTGTAATGGTGAGAAACTTCCATGTCTAGAGATTCTAACAAACGGATTTGCAGCATCAGACCCTGTAAATCCTCAGGGAACAGAAGATCTAGACAGTATCGGTGACTCAAAGGGACTGAAAACTGTTAGCACCCATAGTACTGAGAAAAATTTGAACTCAATGCCTAGCTCAGGTGAAGACTTTGCAGATTTTGCTACCTTCTCAAACAAAAAAACAATCCATTTAGAGGGAACAGGACCTATAATATGCGGTGTTCTTAATGAAAGAGACTCTCTGAGCATTCAAGAGAACAACAGAATAAACAGAGTAACTTGTATTGAAGAAGAGGTTTGCATTTCAGAAATTAGTTGCGAACAGGGTTCCTCAGCACTGGAAGATAATGAACTTGCAATTTCTAGTACGTCTCGAACAACTGGAAGTTCAATATGCACTACTGAAAATGGAGAACGCAGTGGGAAGAGAAGACAGCCTGGCACAGAGAATGGCAAAGATTTCACTAGGCCTGATGACTCTTTGGGAACAGAGGACATCAAGGTTAAGATCCAAAGCCTAATCAGTGATCCTGCAGGAGAAAAATTGGGTGATTCTGAAGATCTTAAGAACGGTGGAAGTAGTACTGAAGTTGTAGCTTGCAGTGACACACAGGACGATGATTTTGGTGATTTTGGTTCAGTCAGCAGTGCATCTCCCACCTTCATTAATGCTCAAGAATCGATAAATGCTCTAGATTTAGAAGGAACTTCCGAACAGCCCACACATATTAGTGAACCTAATGATGAATTTGGTGAATTCAGGGACACAAATACTGTTTCTCAGCAACCAGCAAGGTTGGATCAAGCTGAACTAAATCAGACTGCTGACACTTTAGAATGTGATACTACCAGTAAAACTTCTGGCTTAGACTTCCAGCATACTACTGAGGTAGCAAATGGTGATGATAGTGAATTTGGAGACTTTGATTCAGTGCCAAAACCTCAAGATGAGAGTGTTGCTTTTCAGGACTCTGACGACTTTTTGTAACCAAGCTACAGACTGGAATGCTTTTGAAGATGAACAAAAAGACAGCTGTTCTTGGGCTGCCTTTGGGGATGAGCAAGCTGGTGAATCTCATCACAGAAAAGAGACGTGGCAGTCACATAGGACAGATGCATCTGCCAGGATTGATGGTCCAGCATTACACAAGACTGACAGTTTTGCTTTAGCATCTTTCCAAGGAACTACCAGTAAGCAATCTCAAGAGCCAGCACCTTCAGTTCAGGTAGGGGTGTGCTTGATTTTGTTCAGTCTTGTTCTGCTCTTGTGCATGCAGCTCTTCGTGGTTCCTGCTTCTGCGTACAACAAATGTTTGGATAGTCCTTGTTTGTCTTGTGGGAGAGATTTAATTTGGTGGGTGAGACAGGCTGGTATGAAATAATATGCTGTGTTTGCATCTTATATCTTTTGCACTGTTACTTCCTGCAGAAAAATGAGCAGGGTATGCTGGAACTTATATGCATTTGTTTTGACGATTATATGTGATCCTTTACATAAACTGATCAAAGGAATAAGCCATCATAAACATTTCAGAGCCTGTGATAGTTCCTCCGTTGCTTCATCGTTTACTGCTTTTTGAGGGGGCACTCTGATGTTGCCTTTTCATAGAACAGTGGTGTGACTGGAAGCTGAGATAACTGGTTCCCAAAATTTTTCATCACCATTCTCCATCATGTCTTCAAAATCTGGTTTAAAATAGTGACTTGATTTGTAAATAGCTGCACTCATTTGCTTAGAGCAGAGAGCATAATAAAATATGACCTATGGAGTTCTGTCCCTGGTATTCTAGCTCCTGGGAAGTTAACCATTTAAAATGTATTTAAATACAAATCTCTGTGATACGTTAATTGTGGGGAGCTCCACGTTATAGCAACATCACAAAAATGGCACTGATGATTTCTTAAAGCTGCTGGTATATCTAATTAGGAGTTTGGGGGAGGGTGAAGTAGGTTTATTTCTTACCCCCACCCCCTAGTGTTTCTACCTTAGTTGCTAAGTACGTATTAATTCCTAATTAACTCCTTCCTAAGTCTTTTCACCAGTCATCTTTGAGATCTGTGCCTGTTTATACATAGATAATTTTTAATATTACTTTTACGAAATTCCGAGCAACAATTTGAGTTTAAAATTCTCTTCAGTGCTTCTTTTTAATCATTTCATCCCATGTGAGTAGTTCAGAGTATGCTCCATCTTTTTGAAACATGCAGCAACACCAGCAGTAAAAGGTATTAGTGGTAATATGTGTCTAAAAGGTTTGGATCTTCTCTGGCAATCAAAGGAAATGAGGTAAGTCCTTTCTTCCAGGACCTTGCGTAGGCTTGGTGGCAGCCCTGCCTCTTTCCATTTCCTACCAGTGACAGGGGAAATGGCCTTTCAGAAGAAAGTTGTGCCAGCCAGAGCTTTGCAAGCATCAGCAAGTGGAATGGAGCTTTTGGGGCTTAGCTCTGATTTCTTGTCATGTTAAAAGGTGTGAGCCTCGGCTCCTGGCACATCCTTCTTGCTGTTTTGTGCAATGACTAACACGCCAAATTTCAAAGTGTCTTCATGAGCCAAAAAAAAGACTCGCAAGTGGATTTTTGTGCCTATGCAAAACCTTGCTCATCATCACCTGAATGTGTGGGTCCATTTCTCAAGTTGAAAGCACAAATCTAGTGTTGCCTATTCTGTTGGTCATTCACCCATAAAATTGGAGACTACTAAGGTCATTAGTGCAATTAATCTAAATTGTTCCTGTGGCCACTTGAAAGACTGTCCAGAATCTGACAAAGAAATGAGGTGGGGAGATGATTCTAGTAAATCATCCCTTTTTCTAGTTAACCGTGCTATTAAGGGATAGCCTGAAGTTTTCAAACGCTTATTTTTACTTACAATTTTCCATAATTTTGTGATGGAGTTTCAGTAGAAAACACTTCTGAATGTAGATGTTTATAAAAGCAGAATCTTCAGAGGTTCTGTAATTTTTTTTCCCCTCCCCAAGTCTGCCTTAACAAAAGATAAAAGCCAGGTTGCAGTGGAAGTCCTTCTGTGATCTGTCTTGAAGTCTTACAGTACTTTGGTTAGATAATAAAGCAACTTTTAAGACTTAATTTTATTTTTTTTTTTTTTTCATTCCTTCTTTTTATACTACAGCCAGTTGTGACTGTTTGGATAGAAAGTGGTGTTCTGCCTCCCCTGCCAGTGAGGAAGTACAACCCAAAGAATGTTGTACACAAATAAGCTGTAGAGGAAGTTGACCTGGATATGTTTTCTCTGTTGCAATAGTTTCCTTAGCCTTGCAATGACTGTTAGTTGCTACATTTTTTTTTTTTTCAGTTAACTCTTAAAACAATAGTTTTCAAAACTTACTCTGTATTCTCTTAAGTGCTTTAAGGTTTGGAAGGGTCTATTGAAACCGTTTTATATTTTTAAAAAATGCTTTGTTTTAACCTTAAGTAGTAATTCTGTTTTTAATCCATTGAGCCACAGTTTTAGTAAGTTATAATTAGAAACATTGAGGTTAGTTAAGTCAACATGAGCCAGCAGACAGTCCCAGTACTTTTAAGTGCAGAATCGTAGTAAAATTAAACTCAGATTTTGATCAGCTTCCTTACTTTCACTTAAGAGGATGTCACTGAGGTCAAACCACAAAATACAGTTTTTTAAAGTATTTGCTGATCTTCTCTTTCCCATGTATTAAAGTTGAGTTCTGGAGCTGTTTGAGGCAGAAGCAAAAACACTTGCATGCAAAATAAAGCTAGGGAGACATAAGCAAATAAAGTTGTTTATTACCCTGACCAAAGAAGGATAAGGAGGAGTAGATCGCTTGCATCAATGTATTGCTGGTAGATGTAGAAAGTACTTGCTGTAGCAACTTAAAGGGAGGAGGCTGTGCAAGGGAGAAATACTGCACGGGTTAGACACTTGAGATAGATGTGAAAATTGAGACCTTGGCTTAGGCTAAAGTTTGACTGGGATCATTTACAAGATACGGTATACACTTGATCTGTAATATTGAGGCTAGGAGAGTCACTGTAATGTGGTAGTGAAATAATTTTGAAAGGTGCATAAACAGAAGAACCTTAATGTAATTCTTCTCAGTTTTCTGCTTTTGTATACTTAGCCAGCAGCATTACTGTTTAAATGTGGAAATGATGTATACAGCAATTTTCATCCATCCAGAATGCAGCATGAAAGGAAAGTTACTTACCAGTAGCTCAAGTTTGCTTGCCAATGGTCTCTGCATATTCTCCTTTCTGTTTCTTTAGTTTGTGTATTCTGGATGTGGAGGCAGCAGCAAAAGTTTGTGCTTTCTGCATGTGGTCTTGATTGTAAAGTATTTGTCAGGCAAACTGCTTTAAAGATTGTGGATTTGGTATAATGTTTAATTAAAAATTAGGCTTTGCTTGAATTCAACTAATTAATCCAGTTTTTCTTACAAAATATAGAATGTAAAAGAAGAAAGTAAGGGGAGAAAGGTCACAAAAATGACTTTATATAGTGACATGTAGTGGCAAAAAGATCATTATGTCTTTTCTCCTTTGCCTTTGTTCTTTGGCTTTCTGAATCCTGCACACGATCTAAAATGTAGGATTTGTAACGTGCTGACCTCTTCCATTCAGTAGGGTTGCAGGAGGGGAGAAGAAAAAGGGCATGGTATATGGCATTCAGTTAGAATTACTGGAAGAATTTGTAATCCCTTAGGAAAAAGTTCCAGTTTCAAAGGCTGATGGACACAGATATGCAAAGTGTTACTTGAACCCATATTAATACTACCATATACCTTAATCATTTAATGTCTTTCTTCAGCTGAAAAATATGTAATATTTGGTTTCAGTATAGCTGCAGGTTTGTATTTGAGATGTGCCTTTGTGTTCCTTAAAACTGATGTAGGATGTAGTAGTGGGCGAACTGGTTGATCTAACAAGTTTTGAGCGAACCTGCGCTGTGCCATATGCATTAATCCCCTTTATGTGATCACATAACACACTACTAAGTTATGTTTATAAGGAATATAAGGCTCATAGCACAGCTTTTTCCATGAGATAGTGTTGAACATTAGTCAGTTGAGGGGGTTACTCTGCTGTTTTGTGCATTAAATATATATATATATAGGACTTAGGCAGCAAAGCACAAGAGCAGTTATTACCTACGGTAATCATGTGGGTGGGTAATAGGGCTGTGCCTAGCTGTGTTCAAGGAGTATAGGCATCTCTAGAGGAGGAGGAGATGAATAATGGCTTGGTTGGAAGGCCAAAACTCTTACCTGATTTAGCTGAGAGTTAACAAATCCTGGCAAGGAAGGGAAACCTGAACAGTCCTCCAAGTGGGTTTTAAAATCCTCCGCTTATTAGAGAGCCTGTGCTCACAGGCTCTACCTCTTCAGATTAATCAGACAGTGTGGGTGATGTACAGTTACTGAGCCATAACTATGCATTAAGGCAAAGAAAACCCTGGATCACTGTCACTTAGAGAGTACTTTGTCTTGGGCAATGAATGAAGTCATCCTCTTGGAAAAAAGTAATTATGACCATAAAGACTTCAGCCTCCCAGTTCACTAAGATAAATTAAGATAGTGTTGGCTAAATTAAGTTCAGACAGTTGGGTAACAACTTGCAGTGTAAATATATCTGTCTGGAAAGGTTTTGGTTTTTTTGGTTTTTTTGTTTGGGGTTTTGGTTTTGTTTGGTTTTTTTTTAAGGTTCATGGCATGGTTTTTAAGTATGTGCAGCTGAATAACAGTAGAAAACAGACCACTAAAAGTAGCCCATAATTGCTGTATTTCAGAACAGGCTGGCTAAGGGGATCTTACAGAAGAAAATAGTTTGGGAGGAGATTGTTTTAGCATTTCTTTTTATGTATCACAGAAAAAAATTATCTTCCATTTTGTACGCTTAAGTTTCATCTACTATACTTCCTCTCAGAGCCTGACTGAAAAGTCACCACCACCAGATAATAATAACATGACCAACTGAAATGGAAATAAGTTTTATATAGTTTAGATAAATAACTGTTAAACTTCACTTTGCCTGCATGGCAGATGCAAGGTTTGATACATTCTTTAAATGAGGGAGAATACACGTGTGAGCCTTCCAGCAAGAAGGAGGGAGACAACTTTACATTTCTACAGCGGACTTCCCTGTGGTTTGTAACTCATATCAAGCAATGAAAAGACCATAGAAGTCGTCTTCTTTGTAAAGCCACTACATTTTCAGATCTTCTTTGCAGCTGAGCTCAAGATCTTTATAG